GGGGGGGGGGCGCCAAAACGCAAAACGGGATAAGTGAGCGTTTTCAGCTGCAGAGAAGCGTTGCAATTTAAAGCAATATAAAGTTAGTTATATACTTAAAAAATCGATGGGGCGACACTGCATGTTAGTATCTAATAGTCGGGGCCCGCGGCTCGCGCAATCCTCAGTGCCTAAAATCTAGTTTTGAAATCTTGGCAACTGGGCAACTTTTCAATTACAACACCACTCTCCGAATGCCTTCAAACGTGAGGCTTAAATCTTCTTCAAGCATTGAGAATGGTTCAATTTGCTATTGGAAAACTTGAAATGATCAGCAGCGATTTTCCAACTGTCCTGAATATTGCCACATGCAGTTCGCATTATAATTTATTTGCGTAAGTTACTTTTATAAAACAATGACATTTTTTCAGATCAATGACTAATGATAAAAGTGCCTACCAAAAATTAAAATAGGATAAAGTATTTTTTTTTTTGGGGGGGGGGGTCAGGACCCCCATCTAGCCAAATCGCCCCGGGCCCCTTGAGGTAGCCAGTCCGCCCCTGCAGCACACATTTAAATCCAAACGATCCCAGAATGCACTGTGATCTCATTTGGGAAAAGGCTAATTATTAAGCACTTTATAGGAAAGTACTTATAAAGGTAACTGAAATTACCATTCACTTATTCATCTAGAACGAGTGGCATGTTTTATGCCTTCGATTTCGGCGCTCGAATGATATACTTCGAAGATATAAATTCAATTCCAATTCAATTTGCCACATACTGTTGGGATTTAATATGTGCTAAAGAATACTGAACTCGTTCCCATGACTGAATTGCTAGTTCATGCGAAAACACTCAGTTCTTCAATGAATTTTTCAAGGGTGGGTTGACTACAAAATTTTTGTAGTTCGCTACTTCAAAAATATGTAGTCAGCTACAACTACTGCTACTTTTGAACAAAGGTAGTTCGCTACTGACTACAGCTACTGCTTAAAAAGTGTAGCGAACTATTTCGCTATTTCGCTAATCTATATTTTTTAGTTTTACTGTATTTGGAGCATCTACTATTAACTCAGGCTGTAATGTAGGCCTATAACAAATCGACTTACGAGTAGCAACAGACAACAGTAAACACAAAGCAACATTGTAAGCACTACAGTGTTCAGGAGTGCAAATTGACTATTGAGTATTGATTTTAAGCAGACTGTGTCTCAATATCATGCTATTCTATCAAGTTGCTAACAATTTTAAAAAGTAGCTTGAAAATTGTAGTTCGCTACAGCTACTTCGCTACTATCCACCCTTGGAATTTTTCCATATTCCTAATTTCAGTGTGTGCAGTGGTTCATTAGTATTTAGTAATAAAATTGTCAATAAGTGTACAGGGGCCGGTTGTTCAAAGCTGGGTTAGCTTAACCCTACAATCGCGTGCAAAAATAATGAGACTCTTCACATTTTGGTGATCTTTTTCTCTTTTTCACATGTTGAAAACATATTATTAGATAACCCCGAGCCTCAAAATTGTTAATTAACAACATTGCAAGAGGGGGAAGGGGGCGAGAACTACTTGTTAAAGGAGGGAGGGGGTCTCAACAATTTTTGTACGTGAAACCTAAAATTCAAAGCAAACTTCCTAACAGCTTGTCTATAAATTTGGAAATATTTCTTCAGGGATCTTGTCTGGCCGGATCGATAGGAGTTACTTCTCAGAAGTTTTGAAATAAACAGATGTGTAGAAATACACAATGCAAACCGAAAAACAACAGGTTAAATTTTAACCCATGCAGGGTTAGCGCTAACCCACCTTTGAACAACCGGCCTCAGTTATCAACGTGACTTTACAATCGTGTGACTGTTCGCGATCGGTGGTCAGGATTGTCCCTTAATTAAAAAGCTATAGCTTACAGCTAACTCACCCAGAATATATTTCTTCATTTTCATCATCAACTGCTTGTAATACACTGTTTTCAAAACTGTTAAAGATATTATGTGACGCATCTATAGTGGTGCATCCTCGGTAACATAATACGTTTAGCCAATAAAATATTAGAAAAACGAAACCTCATTGAACTAAACACAAGTCACTCGATAAAATTCAGAAAATAAGGAAGTATTGTCCTAGTCTGGTAATGTTTTCATGCGTGTACATGTGAGAAAAAATAAACAACTGTCAAATTTGACTCTGTATGCACGTCATTCGATGGAATTTAGGGCTTTATTTTCTAAATACCACGTACGTAGCCTTTTTGGCTTTTCTGTTGCGCTTAATATTCGTATATAGATTTATTATATAGTAGAGAGTGAGATACTGAAAAATACACAGTGAGATATTTTCCAGATATCGATCACGTGACTTTTTCCAATTTTTGTAAACAGAACATGACACGGTGGCTTGAAGATATGACTTTTATCTTCTCGTGTTAAAAACCACTCAAAGATAAAAGTAATATCTTCGCGCTGTAACTCCTCTATATATTGCTCCTCTATAATTTTGTAACTCCTCTATATATTGTTCCCAAATATAAGTCAGTCACACATTGCCCCTTCGATACTGTGTCTATAAAAACAATCTTTT